ATTCTCATTTCTGGAATGACAGGAATGCCTATAACCTTGCAGGCGGAAAAACGGGGTTTGATTTCCAAGAGACCAAGCTACCGACCTACTGGAGCACACCTTTCTCCAAAATCTGTCTTGGCATGAAGATCGGCCACCAGATCAAGTTCATCGTAATCAACAAGCACGCCAATTCTCTCTACTCACTGATCGCTGACGGGCATTACCGCGCAACCTCACTGGGTCGTAACACGTGGAAGACGCTGATTGGCTCACAGGCTTCCTTGCAGTACAACTGTAACAAGGAAGGGTTCAATGATGTGGATACTTCTAGTTCCCATTCGAAGGCAAGAATCGGTATCATTAGTAACAACGGAAATGACTGCAGCAGCTGTGATTTCAGAATGGGATTTGGTACAGGAGGATATCCTGAAGACTCAAGCACGTGTGGGAACGAGGCAAAACACGAAACAGATAATGGAGACAAAAAAATTAAAACCGTGGGTTACATCTTGGTGCAGTGAAAGCTAGAAATGGCTCTAATCTGCACCAGTGTAGACATAATAGAAAGTAAAGATCTTTGTCAGTAATAGAAGGTTCCTACGTCTGGCCTGTCGTATTAAATAAAATGCGAATAAATATCTTATTCCAGATGAGAAAAGCTCAGTTTACTTTTAAATACTTGGCTTACCCGAGATCTAGATTAGAAAAGAATCACGGTCATCATCCATCTTTCCCTTCTCTCATTCGTGGAAGATGAGGCCATCAATCCGCGTTCTCTAAGCAATTCGATCTTTGCCACCACCTCTGCNGCGGAAAAACGGGGTTTGATTTCCAAGAAGCCAAGTTACCGATCTACTGGAGCACACCCTTCTCTAAAATCTGTCTTGGCATGAAGATCGGCCACCAGATCAAGTTCATCGTTATCAACAAGCACGCCAATTCTGTCTACTCACTGATCGCTGACGGGCATTACCGCGCAACCTCACTGGGTCGTAACACGTGAAAGACGCTGATTGGCTCACAGGCTTCCTTGCAGTACAACTGTAACAAGGAAGGGTCAATGTTGTGGCTACCTCTAGTTCCCATTCGAAGGCAAGAATCGGTATCATTAGTAACAACGGAAATGACTGCAGCAGCTGTGATTCCAGAATCGGATTTGGTACAGGAGGATATCCTGATGACTCAAGCACGTGTGGGAACGAGGCAAAACACGCAACAGATAATGGCGACAAAAAAAGATAAAACCATGGGTTACATCTTGGTGCCTTGAAAGCTAGAAATGGCTCTAATCTGCACCAGTGTAGACATAATAGACAGTAAAGATCTTTGTCAGTAATAGAAGGTTCCTACGTCTGGCCTGTCGTATTAAATAAGATGAGAATAAATATCTTATGCCAGATGAGAAAAGCTCAGTTTATTTTAAATACTTGGTTCATCCGAGATCTAGATTAGAAAAGAATCACGGTCATCATCCATCTTTCCCTTCTCTCATTCGTGGAAGATGAGGCCATCAATCCGCGTTCTCTAAGCAATTCGATCTTTGCCACCACCTCTGCCACCCTCCATTTCTTGAATCCGAGATTTTCTCTATCCTTGTTGATCGTTCTTCACCACGTCTCTCTTGGGTGTCTTTTTCGGCCAGTGAGATTTCCATCGGCACTTATCGCTCAGATTTTTCTCTGTGAATGCTTCCAACCC